TACTGTTTGATATAATGTATAATAATTGGCAAAAATATGTACAATGCATATTTGAAATAAAAATTTCTATTAATTAAATGGTTTTTTATATATAATAAAATAATATGATAAAAAGCTATGTATATAAGCAAAAATTACTGCTTGAATATTCATGTACTGACATAATATCAACATTTTGAGATCCTAAATGCTTGAACATGCTGTGCTATCATTGGCAGTCACGGTACTTGTCAGGTGCAGAATGAATTAGACATAATAGTATGCTATTGCACGCGTGCATGCATTATTACCTCAGATCTGCATTCCTACTATAGATTCGGACTACACAAATATTTTATTATTTGAAAATATACGCAGAAATTTTTCAATTAGTTTTATCGACTGCTACAAAATGTAAATTTCATTACAGTTTCAGAAATTAAAAGTAAATGTAGATGGCGTTTGTATCTGAAAATTGTTATCCGATTAATCTAACAGCAGAAACTGCTTAATTGTAATATGATAAAATTTTTTAAAAATATCGGGTGAAAATAAGTTCTGGCGGTCTTTTGAGTATTACGAGATATATTTGTCGCAAAACGCTCAAGAGTGGGCTTACTACAAATTTGAGCGCGCAGAGCTGAGCTGGATTCTCCTTCACGCATTCCATGAATCGTTGCGTGCGTGCTGCTAATCTGAATCATCGACACAGGATGTTTTTCTCTCGATAATTGAAAATAATCGAGAAGCGATACGTATCAAGTGTATATACATCAATACAAGAGAATGCGCGTCAGATATTAGTGAGTCATTCGTGACGAAATAAAGGTGCTGGTTTGTACGTACGGTGAAGAAAGATGAGAGAGGGGAGGTAGTCGATGAGACATGTTATTGCGCGCGTCGCATCTGGTCGCATCGGGAAGCATTCTGTGGTGAGACAGATCGTTCTGCTTCGCTGCCAAAAATCGCTCTTTCGCTCTTTCTCTCTTCCTCCTTCCTCTTTATCCCCTCCTCCATCCTTCCTTCTTTCTTTCTCTCTCTCTTTCTTATTTGATTCGCGTGACACAAAGCGCGAAGAATAAGGTAACCAAGTTATCGTTAAGTCGATCCAAGAACGTCAAGAATTATGAGAGTGCGCGATTTGCCAGCGTCGATAGAAAGGAAGAGTATCAATGTTATGAAACGCGGTTGCGGAGGATAGTGACGTATTTGAGAACGGTGAAGTCTGTAACGACAATGCGATCCAATCACGGTTTAACTATACCGTTCGCTTGTCGATGGAAGATGAAATCCCATCCTGAGCAAGAAGCATGCTGCCTCAACACGGACGAATCGCGCAGTTGACGCGCTCGACGGTGCGATTCAAAGAGGTTATCGTGTTTAAGCGAGCTGGAGTGGACCGGAGCGTGAATGTGTTGCAAGAGGCGAGCACGTTGCCGTCGTCGTCGTCGTCGTGGTCGTCGTCGCCGTCGCCGCCGTCGTATTATGGAAACGACAGTGATGCTCGAGTAGAGTGCGTCACTCGACGTGGGGCGAAGATTCCCGTGATGTGTCCGCACGAGGGTACCCGGTCGACGCAAGAAGTAGTGGAAAGAAAGCAGGGCAAAAAGAAGGAAGGAGGTGCCGCCGGTTTGAACACGCCGGCACGCTAGATTGCGGTGGCCTAAAGCCCTCGCTCTCTTGCTCCTTGGAAAATGAACTCCATGTTATATACTCTCTACGGGTTTGCGATATTTTTCATGATATTCTGGTCGGGTATGTGGATGGTTCATGTGCTGGCATTAATTGCCGGTCGTTGGAAACTGCATCGGAAGATGAATCAGGCACCGAGCTACGAGACACCGCTGCCAGGAGTATCCGTGATAAAACCCCTGATGGGGGTTGACCCAAATCTATTCGGTAATCTCGAGACCTTCTTCACCATGGAGTATCCCCGATACGAGCTTCTGTTTTGCGTCGAGGATGACTCCGATCCCGTGCTGATGCTGGTGCGTAAGCTTGTCGAGAAGTATCCAGAAGTCGAGGCTACACTCTTCGTTGGTGGTTGTAAAGTAGGGGTGAATCCAAAGATCAACAACATGCAGCCGGCATACGAGGCCGCCAAGTACGAACTCGTGTTGATCAGCGACAGTGGCATACGCATGAAGGAGGACACTCTATTAGATATGGTCCATCATATGACGGATAGAGTGGCTTTGGTTCATCAGATGCCGTTTACCTGTGACCGCGAAGGTTTCGCCGCCGCGTACGAAAAGATCTTCTTCGGTACAGTGCAGTCACGGATGTATCTAGCTGCGGATATGCTCAGGATAAACTGTCACACCGGTATGTCAGCACTCCTGAAAAAATTCACGTTGGACGAGGTCGGAGGTCTAAAAGCATTCGGCATCTATCTCGCAGAGGATTTTTTTTACGCGAAATCATTGACTGATCGCGGTTGGCGCATCACTGTCTCCTCGCAGCCGGCACTACAGAACAGTGGCCACTGCGCGGTCGATTCCTTCCAAGCGCGACTACGACGATGGGCTAAATTGAGGGTAGCAATGCTGCCTACCACCATTGTTCTTGAACCGTTGAGTGAATGCCTCGTTCTGGGTGGGTTCGCTTCCTGGGCGGCCAGCGTCTTGTTCGAGTGGGATTCTTTAGTATTTTACTTGGTACACATACTTTTATGGTTTATGTTCGATTGGACGTTACTGTGTGTAGTGCAAAACGGTCCGCTGCCTTTTAACAAACTTGAGTTTGTGTGTGGTTGGTTGCTCAGCGAAATCACGAGACCGTACCTTTTCCTTCAGGCTGTCTTGGATCCTCTCATACAGTGGCGTTCACGTGTTTACAAGCTCAAGTGGGGTGGCGTCGCGGAGGAAGTTAAGGCGAAAGTCAAATATTAAAAATTCATGAGTGAGTGTATACGTACATGCGTTACATGCGTACGTGTCAACTAAACACAGAAATAGAGTTTTTATTTTTATTTTTTTTCCTTTTTTCAACTGATAAGCGTATATGTATGTGAGGTGTTCTAATCATGATGAAATATTCTGATCTATCTTTTAGTTAATCTTTTGATAAAATTCACTCTTTTAACCTATAATTACAATAAATTAAAAATAAACACAGCAGATATCCTAAGAAATTAAAGAATTAACCAATTTTTGTTTTATCCAAAAGAATTTGTCTTGAAAAAATTGTCATTCCCTAAGTTATCAAAATATTGATAATTTGAATAAATTCTATTTAAAACTGTATATATTATCAAAATTATGTAAAAAATAAATATCTTTTTTTCTATTGATTTTTTTTTAGGAAGACAATATCATGCTTTCAAATTCGATAAAATTTTTTAAATATTAGGTTTGAAAGAGAAATATATATATAATATAGACAAAGCTCTAATGCATGGTCTGCAATGATAGTAGCCAGTAGTGGATGAGACTGTAAAAGTAACAAATTGATCACAGTTGAATGTGAGAAGAATAATCGACTGTGATTGATCAATTTTTTATTTAGTCTCATCCATTACTGATACTGTCATTGTAGACCACGCATTATATTGTGCATTTTTGAATTTTTAAATAACTGGAATTCTTCTGTTGCATGCTCTTTCACTATGCATTCGCTACATAATCAAGTGAGCGTGCATTAATTCAGAAAACATTCGAAAGGACACACAATGACATTTTAATTTTATATACTATTCAAATAAGAATACAGATTGAAAAATTCTAGAATATGGAAATCGCTCAATTCCGATCGTTCTGTAATAGGCTTTCTACAATAAGCCGTAACCTAAGCTTTAAGTCATAAAAATTGGCCAATCACAGTTGAATGTGAGAAGAATATTCGTTTATGATTGGTCAATTTCTTACGGCTCTTAAGACTTAAAGATAAAGTTATGATTATACTTAAAGATTAAGTTATATAAGTTATACTTATTGTAAAAAACTCATTATAGAAAGATTTTACTGTTTTACAAATTAATGCTCAGAACACCTCGTTTTAGAATAGAATTTCTCGAGTAAGAATTTGGATATACATTCTGCGATTTTCAAGTTATGATGTATTTTTAAAAAACGTTCAAATTTGTTTAATGACAAATTTTTCTTATAAGAGTTGTTATTAAAAAGATGAATTTAATTCAACATTTTATACATAATATTATTAGTACCAATAGATCTGTAAAATAAATAATAAAATAAAATTTTTTTGTATTTATTCTGAAACTTGGCGGATTAATAAAAAATTGTCTAAACAATGTCCGCACTCTTACATGAGGAATTCTAGCTTTGATTATTATTTCACTTGTAGAATAAATTTTTCAAATTTGTTAATTGGCTATAGGACAAAGAATTTCTGAAGACTTGAGAATTTCTCTTTCCACAACTAATCAACGCATTTGAAATTATTGTATAATAAGTAGAATAATACTTTCTATATGTGCAAATCGATATAACAATCGATATACAATCGTTTTAAATTTATTATGAAGACCAATTTGTTTAGCTTTATTGAATATACAATAAATGAGAGATAAAGCCTGTAAGGGTCGAAGCTGGATCTCAAGTACTTAAATATTCCCATGTGAATATTACAGCCATATGCAATACATGTAGTCATTTGAACTGCGCGCTGAATTGATTTTTCAGACTTAGAAACGCAACTTGACTACTATGGTAATATCATAAATTAAATTAATAAGCAATTTAATAATTTGATACTTAATCAGGTATCCTAGAAATTTCTTAGAGAGATCTTAATATGCTGAAAAACTGTAAATAAATTTATTACGAAAAATATTATCTCGGGAGTCGAATCCGGATCTCTCAGTATTCCGTGTGAGCGTCTTAAGTCTCGTCTAAACAAGTCGCAGCACGTAAATCGCATTCGTATTCGCATTTACGACAGCGAATCAGAAATATGATACTGATACTAATGACTGATTAGTTGTTGCGAATGCGAATGCGTTGCAATGCGTTTTGCATGTTGCAATTTATTTAGACGGGGCTTTAAGCCTTTAGATCACCAAAGCAATGGAATTCTCACACAGAATGCTGAGAGATTCAGGTTCGATTTCCGGTCGAGATAATATTTTTCGCAATAAATTTATTTACAGATTTTCAGCATGTTAAGATATTTCTAATAGAATCCCTAATTGAGTATCAAATTATTAAATTGCTTGTCAATTTAATTTGTGATATTACACTAGTTCAGTTGTTTCTCTAATGTTGCGTTCGGAGAGACACTATTATTACTTCTGTCATTTCATCTTTATTGTTTATTAGACGTAAAACAAGGATAGAATTACACAAATAGCTCTAATAGTCTCCCCGAACGCATCTTTCGTCCGAAAAATCAATTCGGCGCGCAGTGCAAATGACTACGTATATAATATAATATGTAAATTCGCACGAGAATATTTAAGTATTTAAAATTCAGCTTCAACTATTACAAGTTTTAGCTTTTACTAATAAGTAAGCAATATCATCAGCAAAGCTTAAAACGCAATAGAATCAATAATTTAATCGATTTCTTGATGATTTTATATTATCATATGTAAAATATAATAGAAAAACTCAATAAAGCCAATAAATATATTAAGACCGTATAATATGAATACACAAGTATTCACATAATATGGTCTTAATATATCATTTATTAGCTTTATTGATTTTTTCTATTATAATTTACAAAATATGAAGTAAAAAAATCGACTAGATCATCGATTCCATTGCGTTTTAAGCTTTGCTAATGACATTGCTGAATGTAAATTTAAAAAATATTGAAATAAGATAGATATCTGTCAAATACATTTTTTATGTATATGTAGTGTATAGACAACAGTATTATATATATATATATATATATATATATATATATATATATATATATCCCAAAACTGCTAATATTTTAAACACATTCTTTGTAATATTTTAAGACGATAAATCTAATATGAAAATTCGGAAGATAGGAAAGTTTTCAATAGGAGAAGAATTTAAAAATTATGAATGATAGAACTAGAATTTTGTGCGCTCAAGAATGGAAAGATGATCGGTGTGAACTGTGAAGTGCTGATTTTTCTTATCATTAAAGGCATTAATCTACCTTCACATCGACTAATTTACCATCCCTAACGCGCGAAATTCTAATCTTGTTATTCGTAATTTTTAAACTTTTCTGATTTAAAAACCATTATAGCTTCGACATTTTCGTATTGGACTTATCCTTTTAAAATATTACAAAAAAAGTTTGTCTTTAAAGTATGTATCATCAGTTTTGAGATACCGTGTATATATTTGATTATATATTATCAAATATACATATGACAGATTGTTTCCTTGGTTCCACGTCAAATGGTTCACATTTTCTCGAAAATTATAATAAAACCAAATGTAATTTGTAGGGCACACAATGTAGGGTACTAAAATTTAGATTAAAGCTTCTAGTTTTCGATGCAATGTAGCGATTTCATGATTTCGTTTGTCCAATCTCTACTATTTTTTCAAAATAAAGTACAATCATTTTCAATGTAATTTTATATGCTGAATGTAAATGTGAAATTAAAATTAATAATGTTTGAATTGCGCGGAAAGTAGCAAAAAAAAACTGTTATTTTTTATTAGAATTGTTTTCTCTTTGCAAATAAACATTTAGTTTCTAAGTTTCTACTAGTATCCACTTTTGAAAGATGAAAATACAATAGTTGTATTATTTTTAAAAACGCTCTTTTTTTATTAATATGGCATTTTTATGAAATTATGTATTGCATAACTATATACAGTATTGGAACGGACCGTTTAAAAAGTATCTAGTTATAAGTATTGTGTGAAAAAAATATTTAGATATAAGTACAGATACATTTTTTTTATAATTACCTAAGTATAGATACCGATACAAGAAAGAAGTATCCGAAAATTCAAGTACTTTTTAGGTATTTAAAAAAAAAGGAAGAAAAGAAAAATGGAGAAGAATGAAAATAAGAAAAGAAAAAGATATAAGCAGCGTAAAATATATTATATTTTATTTGTTTGTTTTAATACATAAAAAAAATGTCTCGATGAAAAGTCAAAAAACAAGCTGCGTATAGATTAATTTTATTTTATATACATAAATCTACTATTTATGTACGTACTAAACTGTTTGAATTTGGATAATGAAAATTGTAATCGTACGTGCGTACGTCATCGCGATGGATTATCGATAGAAACAGCGTGGCAAACTGATCACATGACGCTGTCTCCTCACTCATATAATTTTTCCTCTAGGGTGGAAACGTAAAAGATGAAAATTTTTTTATTTGCACACATACATAAAATTTTTCTTGATTCCGCCCTAAGAAAAAAAATTACTCCGATTGATCCCAAGCACCAAAACTCTTTAGAGTTTATTATGGATACAGGAAAAATCGCAATTCATGTTACAAATTGTTCTTCTCTAATCTGTGTATTCCTACATCCATAATAGACTCTATAAAGCTTTTGTGCTCGGTACCAAAGAAGACCGGCGCCGTGTCATTAGTTTGCCATTCTTTCTCTATGAGGTTTTTTAATCGCCAATCACTAAATACTAGGAATTAAAATTATCTAGGCGCCCGGAAAAAAAGTTTCATATAATTATATAATTTCATATTAGTTATATATTGTGTAAAATTATGTAAAATTAAATATAATTACATATAGGGATAAAAAGTCGGGGTCCTATATTCTATATAAAATATATTCAAATATAGACATATTTCATATATAGGATGTCCCCGACCTACGAGATCACTTCTCGTGAGGAGGTAGAGCGGACTGAACTGAATTGAAAAGTCTTTTACTATTTTATAATTTTTGCTAATACTTTAGGAGATATTAGTTTCTAAATATAATTAAATAAGCACGTATCGACTACCACTAAGTATACGC